TCATTGTACTCATTACAAAAAGGAAAAGGTGTTTATAATGGATATTAATTGCAACTCATTACTTCTGAGTTCTGATTGCTCAATGATTATGTAGCTAATATAGCTGTGGACATAATGGTCTGGGTTCTAATCCCCCCCCTCAATTTCAAATTTGTTGCTATTGAGAATCTCAGAAATGCTTCACCTTAATGGAGGACATGTATATTTCCTGGGACAGGAAGCAACCCCACCATTCTTTCACCTGGTATTTTTCTTTGTCCCATGAAGCCACAGCTGAGTGATGCCTCCTGTGTTATGTACTCTTACCTGGCCAACAGTGTCAAAATGCTCAGTTCCAAAATATAAAACATTGATGCAAGCAGTGTTAGTGGTACTAGAGGCAGAGACAGCTTTCTGCAAGAGAACATTGCAGAATGGAGCCCAGGATGTTCTGACTGCAAGCCAGGCCCTCAGCTACAGATTGCAACAGGAGAACTCAGCCCTTATTTTATGGGCCTGCAGTCTATAGGCAGGATCAGCCCTACCTTTATGTAAAGCAATGGAACCACCTCAAATAGTCAATTTTGGATATTACAATGAAGCAGCAATGCATTGTTTTTCTTCTTCTTCTTCTTCTTCTTCTTCTTTTTGTATTTCTACGTATCCTCAGAGATGGTAGAGATATTCAACTGATTTCATGCCACTAGTTTCAAAATGTGTCAGTGTTGTGGTATAGTGGAAAGAGTCCTGGATTAGGACTCAAGTGGTCTGCGTTAAAATCATTACTTGGATACAGAAACTCACCTGGAGGTAAACTATTCCTTGAAAAACTTAGATATTTCTAAAACTTTGTTAAGAGTTGCCGTAAGTCAAAAAGTGACATGACAGCATGTAGTAATGGCCACATGAGAACTTTGCTGGTTTTGGATAACATGTTCCTTAACTTCAGAGTACCAGCGGAGAAGTTTGAATAGGAGCCATTCACTAGTGCGCCTCAGGTAGCAAGATGTCTTGAGCCACCCTGCATATAGGGATGATTCCTGTATTGTAGACATGCCTGTTTATTGTAAGTTTCTGTGACATCATTATAGTATTCTTGCCATTGTTGAAATGTTCTGGACACCTTCTATGCAGACAGTACAGGAGCATTGCATGTGAAGTTTATGAAATGTGGGCGGGGATGAAATTGCTAGGAAAGTTGTGAGAGTTCCTGCTATTGCTATGATGTCTCCTCCCCATCCACCCCACGTAAAGGGTCTTTCAGAATTTTACAGAATCCAAACCAATCTCTGGCATCAGGAGACATCCTAACTCTGCCAAGCTCCAGGGGCATCTAAAACTAGAAACACAGTGACCCTGCTATCTCATGAAGAGTGTACAGAGTGCAAACATGCTGGTAATATAATTTCAGAGTATGACGAGCAGCTTATTTTTAGCCACAGCATCTGCTGTAGCTAAGCTCTGAGTAAGCTGCAGCTTTATTCCTAATTTTGTATGTACTAAAATGGTTCCTGTAGGTGTCCCATGACAGGGCTGCTCTTTGTTCTACATTAGTACGACTGTAACTCTAGGAGCCAGCGTATTGTTCACAAACATCAAACGCAGTGCTATTTTCACAGAATCTACTGTTACACACCATGTGCTTGTTTTAAACATGGCAGCTGTTCCTGTAGCTCAGTGAGGGATTTGTGCCTTTAAATCCTTTGGTTTCTGATTCAGTCTCCACCGAAGCCCAAAAACCTCACCACTGGAACAACATCCAGGCATTAAAATTAAGCAAAGCCGTATGATGACTCTGAGATTATCAGTGATTTACATACTTCAGTGGCATATCTAAGGTTTACCCAGGTGCAAAAGACTGATCACGTCCCTCAACGTGCAAACTTGACAGTACTTGATCCACATGCAGGCTAAGTCAGCTGCAGCTGAGGATAAGGACAAGTAACTTCAAAGCTCCAAGACCATTTTTGACCTCCCTGGGAACTTGGTGGGATTCACCACAATGATGGCTTCAAACCTCCTACTTTTCTGTTGTGTAAAAAACTGAAAGTTGCATCATTTAAAATTTATTTTGTCTCAACTTAAAAAGACCCTTCTTCCTTCCTTTCTTTTCAGAAAAAGGAAGTGACAAAACAGCACCTTCCACTCTCTAAAGGCTAGTTTGGTTTTGATGCAGCCCTCAGCCTATGTGACACAGCCTTAAAAGACTCCAAGGCAGCCATTCTCAATCTTTTTTCCCCACAACCATAAATATAATATGCAAGAAATATAGGCCAAATCAAGATAGTAAAAGTCACATAATGAACTTTATAAGGTGGCATGTGAAGAATTGTTGCCAGTCTGTGGCCCTCTTCAAATGTGCCAGGGCCCCCGTTGAGAATGGCTGCTCTAAGTCTAGGGACTATTTAAAAAAAAGCAAAGTGTGCTGCTTATATACCACCCCATAGAGCTTCAAGCACTCTCTGGGCGGTTTACAAGTTAATTATGCAGGCTACACATTGCCCCCCCTCCCAGCAAGCTGGGTACTCATTTTACTGACCTTGGAAGGATAGAAGGCTGAGTCAACCTTGAGCTGGCTACCTAGGATTGAACCCCAGGTCATGAGCACAGTTTTGGCTGCAGTATAGCAGTTTAACCACTGCGCCATGAATACAAATAAATACAAATACTGTTTGTACAAATACTGTTTACATGACAGTCCTGCAGTACTTACAATATAGTCCTTTATCTGGCCTCACAGTCTTTCTCAGTGAAGCCAAGGTGAAAAATTCAGGTGCTAGGTTTCAATTGCACCGTTAACAAAATATATGTGTATGCAGATATATGCCATATCTGTTCCTCCCTCATCTCATGTTATACAGCGGTTCATCTAATTAAAAACAACTAAAGCCAGGAACAAAACCAGCCTGTTGGGCTACCCATCTAGCAGTCTACTTTAAATTCTTCCTACATTTCGCAAATATAATTTTTGCTTCAGATGCCCTACTCTAGTTGTCTGCAACCTTCCAGAGATCATGCAGGGAGAAACTGAACCCACAGCCTTTTCTATACTGGTGACATTTCTGTACTTTCTCAATTGGACCTTCCAGAACAGTATCTACCTGATGGTTATATGTCTTTGGTGTGTCTGGCTATTTATTGTTCCTGTGTTTTATGCTTGTAGTTGAGTTTCTATTCATTGATTTAACCTGCCCATGTATTTGTAACTACTGCATAGTGATTTAAATACTTTATATGTATAGAATGAAAATAAGTCAGATGCATAATTTTGCAAATTAACACCGAGTAAATGATACAATGTCATTTGGAAATTCTGCAGTCCTGGAAAGAAGCCTGAAACAGGGTTAAAAGAAGAGGCATATCAGTAAACACAGTTGAAGGTCAAAGGAATCTGTTCACCAGACAAATGTTTGAAACACATGATCAATAAGATGTTCCAATCAAGGACCATTAACTATAGTGAGTGACAATTGCAGGAGGAAAGACTGCAATGAGATAATGGGACAGCACCCTAGTAGTACCCAGTTCAATGCCAGATTTGGTTGCCTAAACACACCAAAGACCAGACAGACTTGAATAATACACCCAAAAAAATGGGGTGTGGTGGCTGAAGTGGTGGAAGTGGGAGACTGAGATTCCAGTTTTCACTGACCCAGGAAACCAATTGGACGACGAGGGCTCAAGAAACCTGGCTCAAATCCAGGTTTGAACCAGGTTTCTTGACTCACAAGGGGCAATGGTTGAACTGCTAAAACCATTCCTTGAATATCTTACCCCAAAAGCTCTATTAGGGTCGCTAACAGCCAGTTGTGACAACAGCACATAACACATCCACACCCACACTTAAAAATAAGAAAGAGAATGCACTAATATTATATAGAATGTTGTGGCACAAAAATAAATAGGAAACCAGAGATGGCAAGAAAGGAAAAAAAAAAAAAAAAGCTTTTTCAGGCTCCTAGTAACTTATAATAAATACTAGGAGAGACAAGTAGGAATGTGTGCTGAGAAGCAAAAACATCCTTCTCTCGGGACTATACAGGATATTTCAGGTAACAAAGGAAGGGGACACTGCATCTTTGTGCAGAACTCAATTATATTGTTATGAAATACACCCATTTGGGGTAGAAAGCCCAAACCTGATCTCTTTGGGTAGGAACACTACAGAATTTAATAGCAGCTTGGCAGACAGTACACAAGAAGAAAGAAAAGGTGAATTTCTAGTGGACCAAATTGACCAGCTCTTTTGCTGGTTCTAAATCCTGGCCTTTGAACGAGAGGCAGAAATGTTTTTGTATTTCATCAGTGGACTGGTATGCACAAAGTGTTGACATCTTTTGCTGAGAGTCAGGTCCTCTGTGGAGTCATACAACCTTGCTGGGAATAACAACAAACCTGAGAGGCATTTGTTGCTCACACATACACACATTTTGACATCCTCCTCTGCTCAGGCATGCTCACCCTCCTCCTGAAAAGGCCTGAAGCTAGAACATCAATAGGGTACTTCTTTCTCCCAGTCTTAAGTTCTGAATTTCAGGTCTCAAAGAATTTCTTTGCTTAAGGATCATGCCTTTGTAGCATTTGCAAGAAAACATGATTCACTCATTACATAATCTTCATCAAGAGCTTAAATTATAGGTGGGTTATATCACTTAGTCATCACAGTAATATTCAAAACCTTGAGATATAAAAGTGCAGTGTAAAACTCATGTGACTTGTGTCTTGAATAAAGAGGGGGTAATATTTTTCTGTGGCATTCCTTTTCCCAATTATGCTTCTGACTGTGTGTGGCCATCTTATACACCTGTGTCATGAAACATACTTATTTTCATCCTTTTGTATAATGTGGCCATTACAGGATTACAATAAAACAAACAAACAAACCAACACACACACACACAAACACACACACAAACACACACACACAAAGGCTGTCTTAATTCAGAAGGGGTTTACATCCTGGGACAAACTGTCCCAAGAGAAATAAATGGAAGGTTTTGTTTGCTTTACACAGAGCCTGGCTTTATTTGGGCTTTGACAGTGCGGGGAAGTGCAGGCAAGTGTATGCATGCCCCCCATTGTTACAAAATTCTAAACAAGAGCTCACACACAGGGAGGATAAATAAATGATTTACAACCCGTGCAAAGTAGCAAGAAATGTTTTGTGTTACAAAAGTGCCTGTAATTGAGTTGATTGTAAAGAGAGAGGAAAAAAAACCCAGAGTACGTAGTAGTTTTTTTTTTTTAAAGCCAGAACACCAGCAAGAAAGACGTTTTGGGGCAATTCATTATTTTATTATAAATTTAGAACGAATGAGTGATGAAAAAGTTTCACAATGGAGTACCAAGAAAGCTCATGTATCAAAACTGTAGCAGCATTTCAAAAGTCGTAGGTTCCCAAACTCCTCCAAGCACTGCTTCCATAAACTCACTCCAGTAAATCCAACAAGTGCACTGTCACAATATGCCAAGGAGGAAGATCTCTTGCACAAGCCCACTGGAAATAAATGTGAGCTGTACAAAAGAGACTAACTTCAGCAGCAGAACTTCCCAGGGGTCTTCCATAGCAATTAGATTCCACCAGCTGTTTATCAGGTAATGCTACTCTACTCTTCTAATGCTACTAAGGAAATCCTCATCAGACACCCAACAAATTACAGCAAGTTGCAGTTCTACGTCCAGAGACCTCTAGGTCTATTCAGTAGCATTGTCATTTTACTAGGTGCAGGGGACTGGGAAACCAGATGCCTCTTTGTTTTGAAGAACTGGTTTCTTAGGGCTCCTGTCTGATTGCCTTCAGTAGTGCATGGTGATTCTCTCTAGCTGACCTTGACAGCATCTCAACTCCAAGGTGATAGCAGATCAGTCCATACTGCAGCTTCTTCCCATGCCACCCCTGATCTGCAGCAATGCTAGCATAAGATGCTGCAGTGTGGACTCTTGCAATGTGGTCTCAGACATTTGATATTACTGATGGGTACAAGAAAGAGCTATGCTGCAGGAAATCTCATTCTGCTAAGAGTTAATGTCCAAAGTAGCACTTGTGTCTGTTCCTTCTCATCTTAAAAACTTGTATGACAACAATTTTAACAGCCACTTTCAAACACCGGCCATTGACTATTAGTTGACACCCAAAGCTAGCCCAGATTGTTTCCTTTTCTCTTTAGACACTGCGCATGGCATCATCAACGTATATGGGGACATCATCCTCCAACTGACACTGCACAACTGAGACTTACTGGAGGCAACAAGAAAACAAAACAAAATCCTCATCTTCCACCCCTTCAATTTGCTAGTTAGTGGATGTTCTGGGAACAGAAGCAGAGTAATATATAAGGGGTGGGATATGTATATTTAGAGACTGTTCCAAGTTCAACATGTAACAAAACTTGGTTTTCACTACATCCCATGTGGACAATAGTTGATGTATAGTTTCTAACAGTACAACACTTTACTAGTTACTGTAAACCATTAGTGATGTTACTTCAAGCTTTGGTGGTGGCTGATGAGTAAAAAATAATCTTTATTAGAAAGTTATATGGGTGAGGAGAGAAACAGCACACACAGAGAAACAAATAATATAATACTGACAAGCCATTCCCCTTCTTTGGTTCTTTCTAAACTTTCTTATCCAAAATATATGAGGGAAATGCACCATTAAAAAGCTACATCTTTGTAAGTTTTTATAAAATCAATGTTCATACAGTATTTATACACAACAATATGATATGAACAATCTTTTTACCAATATACTTCTGCACTGTTTTGCTCCAGTACTATTAAACAGATTTGTTTAAAAAAAGAAGTGTATTCATTTTGCACTTTGCTTCAGATATCATATATCAAACTGACAAAACATCCCAGCCTCTCTAAAAGATTTTTTTAAAAATGCCACTAAATGATACATTATGTACAAGTTTTACTAGAGATTAAGTTCTAGGCAATTATTTTCACCTCACTTATAATTTAAGGTAGTGTTACCTACTATAAGCATATATATATATTTCTTTAATACAGAAGAAAACGGCACCACGTGTTATGTCAACCAATGACACTGATGATATGTACAGCAGATGTTAAGATACTGAGGATAAATCCTTGCTGACTAGCACATACTGCAGTATATGGTTTAAATAGGGAGCTTTGCATTCTGAGACAGCTCTTGGCTTCATTTATTTAAAGAAAGACTCCCTTCTTCCCTGAAGAAACAACTAAATCAGACATATGGCAGGATACCATACATGAGAATTGCCATGATGCCAGCACTGAATAAGCCAGCAACAGGAACAGTCACAAACCAAGCAAGAAAGATATTGCGGAAGAGGTGCCAGTCAACGGCCTTCTTGGAGCGTATCCAACCAACTGCTACCACAGAGCCAACCTTGGAAGTTGGAGAAAAAAGTCAGAATTACATGAATTCTTACATAGCTCACAGATGCTTATGACTAGGGGTCCCTAAATTATGCTTGCCTTTTGGATCCAGCATCATTTACCACAAAAAAATTGTTTATACTCCCAATGAGTCCCCTGGCACATATAGATAATTTAGGAGAAGAGCTTGGTTGCCCTTCATGCCTGGTTTTGAAGGCACTCATGAACAACAAGTAATGTAGTATCAAGTGTCTCCAAAACCTGGAAGAAGACAAGATCAATCTTTCCGAAGACTTCTGTGTGTACATCAGGCAAGAAACACACATCACATATTTACCCTAAAGGACAAGCCTCCCATTTTGCATTCCAAGGCTTTCAGTAATCTAGAAGCTTTGTAACTTCTGCTGGCCATCTAGCAACCAAATTTGTGGATCCCTATGACAAAACCAATGCCAGTCAGCTGATGCCCTGATTTACAAAGTTTTCGACACAGCTCAGTGCTGAAATCCTAAGTCATACTTCCATTTCCACATAAGCAAGGAGCTTTGTATGAAGTTGCAATAGAGCTGGAGAACTACTTCAGATGGAGTGAGGGAGGGACTGTATTTACTTGCTTATTGGTGCTTTACACAGTTTGAAACAACATGGAAATTTTTATTACAGGTCTTGACAGATCTTTCTCTCTGTAGTTTAAGGCCTATGATTTTGTGTCAGTAGTACTGAACTATAACCCTTTGGACAGAAACCCTTCATATAAAGAACAATCTTTGTATAAAGAACAACTACCACCAAAGACTTCTATGTGTGGGAAAACACAGAAGTTCCAAAAAATTATGGCCACATATGTGGACCAGGCTTCTCTGCTTAAAGCTTGTTTTAAAATGGGAGTTGTAATTTCAAGTCAAACATGTAGGTTTTTGATTCCACCGCTGCTTGTGTCCACTGGAATGTCCCTCCCAATCCTCTTAGACAAAAAGGCTGCCAGATCTAGTCCAGTTTGCCTCCTCCAACAGGCACCAGTTCTCCAGGGCTTCGAGCACAAAAGCCCTATTACTCACAGTTCTTTTTAGCTAGCAATGGCAGAGAGCAACCTTGGGCATTCTGCCTAAAAAGCTTGTGTCTCTCTGCTTAGCAATAGCTACTCCCCAAAAAGGATATGAAAAATTCCTTCTCTTAGACTATCCACAACAGATTTTAATGCGAATGGATTTATCTAACAAACAGCATAGTGATGACGTCTAGACAAAACTTGTGAGAGTAAAAGAATTGACATTAACAGCATACTAATCTCATAGGTATTTTTTCTGCTGAACAGTACCTGCAAATGGAGAAAGGCATATTCAATTCTGTTCAAATTTTCTTGAGATGTATAAATCAAACCAGACACATTATTGAGACTCCAAAAGATTCAACCCAATGACTGTTGATGGCATAACCTATTTCAGATACCTTAGTAACCAGAATTCAGTCGTATGACTATGTTAGATTGAATCAACTCTGAAAACCATGAGTCTGGCAATAATTATACTGTAGGAGATTTATTGACTTAAAATGATTTCCTATAAAGATGGCATAACTGGTGGGTTTGCTGCCATTTTACTGGCTGAAACCCTGTTGCACTAGAGTAGACCCACTAAGTTGGTGGAGATCTGGTGAGTTAACTCCTCCACAACTTCCACAGATTCAACTAGGTTTACTCTAGTTGTGACTTACTACACTAAGCAATAAGATTTTAGTCGTTGAAGCCCAGGTGGGATATACAACCACATGAAGAGAGGCTTTTCAGCACATACCCCACAGCAGTCTCCCTGTCAATTAAAACTCTGGCACTGAAAGATTAGAGGGTCATTCTGAATAGCATTCCATGAAGCATGACCAAATGGTGCAAGAAGGGGGAAAGGGAAACTCTTTCCCTCATGTGCTCATGGAAGAATTTTGTGTAAGAGCTTCTTTGGATCCCAATCTACAGAAAGAGTATGTCTGGCAAACACACCAGATTTATATCTGAAACTACATCTCCTGCCAAGGTACTGTGAAGAGTACTGAACACTAGTGAATATTTATTCACAGAATAAGACTAATACTGTCCATTCTTGGCTTAGTGAGCAAATCCTGCTGTACAAACCAGATCTGGCCCAGAAATAATTAATCTGAACTAAATGAAAGCTTCCTATATAGTTTCCAAGGCTCTCTTTTGCTCTGGAGAACTCTTTGGGAGCCTAGTGGAGGGAGAAGGTGGATCCAGTTTATGCCAGACTAACTTTATGCAATAGGATTTTGCCCAGTGTATCCCTATCCTAAGGATTATGTTCAGTATCCTGTTGTATTATGCAACTGCATAAACATTTCTCATGTCTTGCATGTGCTACAAGATTAGTTATGGTGGTATAATCAGTCATGCAATGCAAGGCCTGCTGGAGCAGAAAATGTTTATGCAATTAAGTGAACAAGACATTAGCCTACGTTTACTGAATTTTCCAAAGAATCCTCAGATCTTTCCTTCTCCTCACAGGCTGCATCTCTATATTCAGTTTAACTCGCTTCAAGGTTAGTCCTATTACAAGGCTGAGTAAAATGTCTACCATTGCCAGGCTTGAAGTAAGATTTCACAGCTAGTCTGGTGGGCTTCTATACGTGGGGTGTGCTGAAGAAGTAGGAACTATAGCACCATGTATTTTGCTTCAGACTCTTCTATAGTCTCCTTTATTGGTTCCAAGTATTGCTGTTTCTGTTACCTGAATCCCATGTCCTACACTTCCCAGTTCTGAACACTTCTTACATTCCCTTTCATCAGTATGTGCCATTCTCTCTTTCTGAATCTGAGGGCAACAACTGAGCAACTGCTCCTCACGGTCACATGACCTAACGTATCACTGTGTACAGTATTGTACCATCATTTTCAAAACAGAATATTTGTGAATGTCCTTTTATCAGCTTGTAATATTTCTTTCTGCAGTTTGCCATTCCTTGGCCTCAATACTGTTATGAACTTCCCTTCAATTCTCCAACTGACTGACAGTCACACCAAAAGCAAACTTCTTGTTGGTGGGTGTTTATTTTTTAATAGAAGGGGAAGACACCTGGGATAGGCTGAGAAAACTAGAATGGGACAGGGGTTGACAAAGACCAAACAAGGGCATAGGGCAATGCAACTAAATTCAGTAGTTCCCACACTGTTGGCTGGAATGAAATGTAGGATCCAGTTCTTCAAAAGATGAACATCAAGAGCACTCCTTTTTCTTCATGCTTTAAAAGGGCATCAGCTACACTGGCATCAGCAAACCATTTTGAAGCAACATCTAAGTTTAGTGTACTACATTGTGATGAAAATACATGTTAGAAAAGCAGTTAGATTCTTCATTATAAAGCTACAAAAATGTGTAGTTTCAAGTGACAGCTGTGTTTCCATTGGCTTGAAACCAAATGCCATTTGCCTTCGGATACAGAATCAAGCATTCTTGTGACTCTTATTGATGCACATTTTGTGGTGCTTCCTAAAATTAGGCACATCATAATCTTCCAGCACTTCCATGTGAAAAACTGTGCTAATCTTTTGGAAGAGAATACTCAATGTCAAAAATGGTTAGTGCTAAGCTAACACTAAGTTTAATGCATAGAAGCAAGAAGACTAAAAGTTAAAATGACTGTCACTTGTTAATAGACTACCAGATGAATTCTACAATGTGGCTAATAAGTAGCATTTAGAATAGTAAACTACCTTTGTTTTGTCCATACTAATAATATTTAAGGGGGGGAAAAATCAGCACCCCAAAATTTGGGGAAATGCTCAACTCCAAATTTTCAAAATAGTTCTGAAAATATTTCAGAATTTTCCATTACAATTCTGTTTTTTTAACTGCTTGATCATTACATAATGAAGGCAAAATGGTAAAAAGAAGGGGGGAAAGAATCAGCACTTATTATGAATTGTTTGTTCTGTTTGGTTCTTTAAAAGCTTCAGTATGGGTTTAATTGGCATGACCACTACAAACTCCAATACCTTGCAATGAGTGGAGCTTATTGGAATACCCACATTTGAGGCTACAAGTACGGTTAGCGCACACATTACTTCAATGCAAAATCCACTGTGAAGAAATAAAAAAAGACAGATGGAAATTTTGTAGTGTATAAAGTGACACACAGGACATCCCATGCCATGCATTCATCAGGAAAGTGGAAGGATGAAGGATGAAAAGTGTCAGAACCTCTGGACAAAGAAATGTGCAGCAGATCAAAGTTCATATGGCATGATCAGAGTAAAAAAAACTCTGCTATTCAGGGCCAATCTACTGTTTGACACAGTAAGGCCAGCTGATTGAGGGGTAGCACACAAGGCAGGACAATAGAGAGGGAGTTTTCTTATTATTATTTTTATCCCAATGGACAAATGGCATTCAGATTTCCTACCACAGCCACCAAAAAGCCTCAGATCTTCGCCATAATTTACTGTACTATAGTATTTCTAATATATATTAGGCTAGGGCCAGTCTTTTCCAGTAATCTCCAGTGCAACTGTACAATTATGTGAAAAGTGTGTGAATCATACAGGAAATGGTACATTTGTAGTCCTACTGAACTTTCGCTTTTGCATGCAGCCAGTGTTCCCTCTAATTTTCCGAAGTGCTGCAAGGAGGATCTGCCCCTGGAGCAAGGGATTCCAGATATAAATGGAACCAACAGGTGAAAACGCCAGCTGAGCTGTGCATGCCTGATGCAGCATTTGTGCACTCGTGCACCCACACACCTTAGAGGGAACGTTTCACATAGCTCATTAGAGTTAATGGAGTTCGCAAAAGCCAAATGGCTGATCCAACATTTTCATTTTAAAGAATTTAACATAGATGCACATCTGATTCTGCATTGATTGATTGATTGATTGATTGATTGATTTTTATTTTATTTTCCAAATGCATAAGAAATGCAGGAGAGGGGGAAGAGTCTTCCATTACACAATGTGAATTAAAAGGTGTTTGAGAAGGGAAGATAAGACCTGCCCATCCCTATTTTTTTATGAATTCTGTTGCAAAGCATTCCTGCTTATACATATTTATTATGTATTTCTTCCTCATGATATCATGCCACTATGAATCTAATCTGAGCAGCAGAGTTAAAACCCAACAGTCCAGACCAGCCTGGCTGCAGTCACATGGCAAAGGCATACCTTGCAGTGTGTCGTACTGACAGGAAGTCCAACATTGGAAGCTACCACAACTGTGAACGCCGAAGCCAACTCAATAGTGAATCCACTGCAGGAAGCATAAGAAAACACTGCACAGTCACTCTTTCTTTAAAATTTTAACCTATCCGTCTGGCCTGGCACCATGCAACATGCCAAAGGCTTACCAGCATCGTCTCCAACTGCTTCCCTCTGACTGACTTGGGGCCATTGAGTTACATTAAGAGAACAAGGAGCTGCTGAATAAGGGAAACTGGACACACACATCCGCATTAAAATAGCTGAGCAGCTCACTGCTACTGGCAGTCTATTTGACATACCAAGAAATCATGCTTCGTTAGTAATTAAAGAAAGCAGCAGAGGTCTAGTATGCATTAAAAGCAAAAATCATAGATCTATTTCTTTTTTAGTTACTCAGAAGCCTGTGAAAATCTAGTTTGATTTGTTTTCCATTTTTAAATTGATGCCTCATTATGCTGTTTGAGAAAGTGGCAGGCTATTCTGCTCAACTAGACCTCAACAATTTAAACATATCACATTAGTTTAAAGAGGAGGTAACACACAACTACTACAGTCAAAAGCAGAAATCATTAGGCAGATGGATGCTATGGCAGAATTTCTCAAACTAGGCAAGCATTAGATGCCAAGGTAACCAAATGGAGGAGACTTACCTCGAGGGTGTGATGGGTGTCAGATCTTTGCCCATGGTTTGAATCACTCTTCGCCCCCAGACCCAAAGGCCCACACAGATGCCAACACCTCCATACAGCAGGAGCCAAACAGGAGTAGGAGCTTCCTGCAGGACACCACCTTGCTCATATATAAGCCAAAGGGCAACCAAAGGGCCAATAGCATTGCTGAAAACAAAATGGAAAACCTCTATTATATTTTCCAACTGCAAATCCTTCAACTCAGTTCCATATTTATCAAAACTGGCCCATGCTAAAGAATTTTCTGAATATACCATGATTCACAAACAACCTTCTATCTCTGATGCAGCTAGCATTTATTTCAATTTTCACTCTGTTTGTCTCCAAAGAGCACCATTGTTCAGACATGCACTTTCACTTTATTAAAGAACAATGGCTGGATTCTTATTTGTGTAAGTTCCATGGCATAAGATTGGTGATTTTATTAACCAGGACATTTTTTTTAAATTAAACATTTATCCCTCCTATTAAGAACACCTACAGGTCCTCAGTAATTCCTTTTTAGAGCTACTCATTATATCAAGGAGAGGTTAGAGTGAATAAGATAAATTGTCTTAAAAAATCAATGCAGCAAAACAGTTTTTGAAAGCACTTTGAGGAGAATCTGTTGACTGTGAAATCCAGCTATGATATGTATTGCTAAATGTATTGCTGCGAGTGGTAGGGGATTTGTTTAAAAGTGTATAGTTAAAGTAATGAAGGAAATGTGCCCTGCTAAGGTATCTTCTGTTAGTTGTGTCAGTTTATCTGCATCTACAATCACCAGTTGATTGACTATGGAATTACAGAAGAATTGTGTGCACTGTAGAGTTTGAAAGGCACTACAATTGCAGAAAACATATTCTTGGAAGTGTGTGAATCAACAGAAAATCTTGGTCTGAGTTGGGATAAACTGAAAAGCATCACAATTGATGGTGCAAGAAATATGATGGGAAGTAAAACTGTTAAAGTTGCAAAAATCAATTAAGAGATATTGAAATTAAATGATACACTTCCCATGCAGTTTCACTGCATCACCTACCAGCAAGCCTTGTGTAGTAAGATTCTTCAGTGGTAAAGTATGATGTGTATTATTGTATCCAACATTAATTACATGAGGCATCATGGCCTTACTCATCGTCAGTTTCAAAATTTTCTCTCAGAGACAGAAGTAGAATATGGAGATGTATTGTACCATGCAGAAGTCAGGTGGCTTAGCAAAGGCAAAGCCCTCAAATGTTTTTTCGGTCTTCATCATAAAATTGGTGTCTTTCTCAAGGAGAAAGGAAAAGTACTTTCTGACCCTGGATGGATTTTTGATTTGTTAACTGATTATCACAGCGCATCGTTCTTAACTGATATCACAGCGCATCTGGATGCAAGGAATCTAAGGTTGCAGGGGAAAGGAAAGCTTGTGTGTGACATGTATTCTGAATGGAAAGCTTTTGAAGCAAAACTAAACATTTTTATGAAGTAGGTTAGTGAAAGTAACTTTTCAGACTTCTCATGCTTCAAAGAACTAAAATATGACAAGCAGGTGGAATTCCAGAAAGATTCACTGCCATAAACATGGAAAGGAAACAAGAATGTTTCATAATCCATTTGAAGTGGCACCAGAAGATGCAAGTAACTTTCTTCAGATAGAACTAATTGATTTGCAAGCCAGTGATCATCTCAGATCTGGTAGAATATGGATGTTTCTTTCTCACTCCTCCATCTGAACCTAGTCTGTATGATACAATTCTGTAATGGACATTAATTCATCAGAAATGTTGCTTAAATTATGTTTTAGCACTATGATTGTTTTAGTGTTCTTTTTCAGCTTTGCTGTAATGTACCACAGTCTGCTCCTGGTCTTGTTTTGGCTGAGAGAATACAGCACCATTTTCTGCTTCCTATTACATTGTATATTTGATTTCCATATTGATCATCTGTTGATATCCATGTGTACAGCCTTCTGTTTGATTGTTTGAAGCATGGATTTGCAATAAACAGTTTGTTGACTTTGCAGAACTCTGAGAGTAATTCTCCTGCTTTGTTTCTATCCCCAAGGCCAAATTTTGGTTCTGCTTTGTTCTCTACTTTTGTGTTCCAGTCACCTATGACTATAAGCAGAGATGGGCATGAACTGCAACTAAGTGGCTTGGCCCAGTGCTCACACAGGTGTTCTGCAGGTGCCACCCACTCCCCTCTCCCACCTCCTCTTTGTCTTTGCCCATTCCCTGAGTGACGTATGCTTCCCTTTCTGCCTCCTCGGCATGACTGTCCACTCACTGATAGCAGTGTGTGCTTTTCTCCTCCACCTCCTCTGGTGGCTGCCCACCCAGACAAGAAGGTAAGGCAGGGAAACCTGCAGCACTGCCTTTGAGTGGATGGCCATCAGAGGAGACAGCAGAGGGAAGTGCATGCCCCAATCAGCGAGTTGCACTGAGGAGATGGGGGGGGAGTTCCCCTTGCCCAGGAAATGGGCGAGCACATAGAGGAGGCAGGAGAGGGAAGTGTGTAGTGCCTGCAGAACACCTGTGTGGGCACTGCACCGAACTGGCATACACCACTGAACTGTGGATTGTGCTCCTGGTGGCTGCCCACCCAGACAAGAAGGTAAGGCAGGGAAACCTGCAGCACTGCCTTTGAGTGGACGGCCGTCAGAGGAGACAGCAGAGGGAAGTGTATGCCGCAATCAGTGAGTTGCGCTGAGGAGATGGGGGGAAGTTCCCCTTGCCCAGGGAATGGGCGAGCACATAGAGGAGGCAGGAGAGGGAAGTGTGGCGTGGTGTGGTGCCTGCAGAACACCTGTGTTGGCACTGCACCGAACTAGCATACACCACTGAACTGTGGATTGTGCTCATATCTAATTATAACTGTATCTTGTTTTAGTGTGTGATCAGTTTCCTCTTGGATGCTTACATAAACACTTTCAATTTCATCTTCTTCGGTATCTGTAGTTGGAGCACAGACTTGAATGTGGATTGTGTTGATCGGTTTTCTGTGGAGTCTGATTGAAACTGTTCAGCAGACCTTACATTATAGCCCCTAACTGCCTGTGCTACATCTTGCCTCAGTATTAGTGCCACTCCATTTTTTTTCCTGAGCTTCTCATTTCTAGACTAGAATGCTTTGTAATTGTATGAATGAAAATAACCCATTCCAGTCCACTTGAGTTCCATGATGCCAAGCAATGTTTATATATTTCATTTCTTGCTTGATGGCTTTCAGTTGACCTTGATGTACACTTCTCACATTCCATTTTCCAACTGTATGCATTCTACAGCACTGGACTCTCATTTCACTTCTCTACACATCAGCCACTAGACATCCTTTCAGATTTAATCTAGTTGTATTATTAATGACAGATCTATTTGTACATGAACTTTGTTCTTCCCCAATTGCTGATTGAATGCTTTCCAACCTGGGAGTCTTGTCTTCCAACAGTATCGCTTGTTTTATTCTGGACTGTTTCATCATAGGGTTTCCAAAGCAGGGAAAGTTCAGCAGTTACTCTATAGATTATAGTTTAAGCAGAAACACATATAGTCGTATACAGCCAAAACTGTGCTCTATGAATGACATATATTTAGGAATGTACATATGATATAAGACACTCATGAGACCCAAAACTGCCTTCAGTTTTCTACTATAGCAAGAACTGACATGTTCAAAAAGCCCAGGGGTCAATTTTCCATTTCTAGGATCACCTGTTGGCTGCATCAGCACTGAAAATGAAAAAAATATATATGAGGAGGTATCAAAACAGCCGCCTAGAGTGGTCACAATTGACTAGATAGGCGGGATATAAATGAAATAAATAAATAAATAAGGAAATGCTCAGAAGACTACTGCTGCTCCTGGAGGCTTCTGGGAGCAGAGGAAATGCTCAGAAGGCTGCTGCTGCTCCTGGAGGCTTCTGGGAGCAGAAAGTAAAGTAGTTGGTGGGTTAGTTAGTTTTGGGGCTGAAACATTTTGAAGAAATACATTGGTAGGATTTACAAATTCTCAAAAAAAAAAAGTCTCAGGGGCTCCACATGACCCATGATCTGCACTTTGCTCATTCATTTCTTAAGGTCAGAAATTTGGTGTGCTACCAGACAAGTCCTTAGTATTACTACATCAATGAAATTTCTGAACAAATTAATTCTATAAAATCATTATCCTGAAGATGCACAGTGGCCTCTCTCTGACTGGTAAGCATCTGTGGGACAGGAGCCCAAGAGTGTATCTTTCAGAATCATTTTGTTTTGGTTTACCTTTCTTTCCACTAGGCACATTTACCTTTTACTATGTCTTAAAACTTTTCTGCAGGAGCCCTAAAAGATACTGACTTTGAGAACACAAGCCACAATACAGAAGCCAAATACGAACAAAGAAATGACCATTATACAACATGCCACTGCACTGAATTATGATATCTACTATCTCAGTGTAAGAACACAATCATGATGTGGATTATCAGGCAAGTGACATAAAATGTCCTACATAACAGTCCAAGTTTCACAGGTTAACAAGCCAAAGTTTTCTGGGGACACGGGCAATGAAGGATGGAATCCAGAGAATGCACAACCCAAGATCTGACAGCTAGATCCAAAGACTTGCTTGACTATATTTAGGATAAACGCCCTGCCAAGATATACAGCTGTTAGAAAGGAAAACAGGCACTGCCTGACATTCTGCAAAACAAATGGGCAAGGGCTAAAAGTTTTTCTTTTCTGGAAACAGAAGCCCCATGTTTCACAGGATAAAAATCAGACTTGTGCCTGACACTTTCTCAGGGAGCACTTTCTCAGGCATTTAACAAGCTACAGAAATCTCTAGCTGCCAGACCAAAGTAACATCATTAATAACTACCGTGTTTTCCCCCCAAAAAGATAGGGTCTTATATTAATTTTTGCTCCAAAAACACATTAGGGCTTATTTTCAGGGGATGTTTAATTTTTTTCATGTACAACAATCTACATTTATTCAAATACAGTCATGTCATCTTCTGGTTGCTGCAGAATGGTGGAGGTTGGGGTTTCACTTAACTGGGGCTTATTTTGGGGGTAGGGCTTATATTACAAGCATCCTTAAAACTCATTTTAGTTGTTATTTAGTCATTTAGTTGTGTCTCTTCGTGACCCCATAGACCAGAGCATGCCAGGCCCTCCTGTCTTCCACTGCCTCCCAGAGTTTGG